TATATATATATATATATATATATAGTCTTCTTGATAATTAGGATTTGATTCTTCTATAAATATATTATATATCTCTAGATGGGGAAGAGCAAGATATGAGAAATATCTTTAGTGCTCCTAGATTTCTTTCTAAAATGTCTAGAGAAGATATTCTATAGAATTTTTATAAAGGATAAGAAAAAGTATATAAATTTTTCAAGCGTTTGTGTGAGATGGTGTTGATATTAATTTGTGCATAGTGAGGATAATTCAAGGATCATCTCACATATTAAATAATTTAATATTTGAATATATCTAGGGATTTATCGAATAACGTTAAATCTTACATCAACTTTCTTATATGTTCTTTGATTATTAATCTCTCTATTTATTTATTTATTTATTTTTGAAATTCTTCTCTTCCTCACATGAATGAGTGACATGGATAAGTATATTTCCCTACAAATAACACGAGTACTACTCTGTATTTTGGACGTCACTACTGTTTTCTAAACAATCTGTATATTTGCATAAGAAGGGGAACATTTCATGCTGTATTGCTATAGTTCAAATAAGCTGACTGGATTTGATAGATTGTGCTGATCACCCCATGAGCAGAGTAGGAGACAAACCTCAAACACTGATGCATTTATTTTATGTATACATCATCACATTTTGAGATTCTGAATTTTGCTGATAGGTCGGATTCTACAGAAATCAGTCGTGCCTTATAAATCCAAAATCACAATTCATTTAGAGTGCAATTAACCAAAAGAATTCATGAGAAGATCTTTCTGTGCCTGACTTCTTGCATAGGTCTCTGGTTTCTTGCAGCACAGTCACAGGCTCTCCATAATCTTTCCAAGTGAAGAGGTACAGAAAGATCTGATTTCTTTTTTTGATTCTTCAAAGTCAACACAACAATGCCGCAGACTTGCACTTGGTGCAACTGTTACATCAAATGCTTAGCTATGTTTCACTGCATGCTGCTGGTTAATTTCTGTGTCCTTCAACAAGCAGATTTAAGGCAGAACCTTCCCCAGTGAAAAGGATGTATTGATGTGGTAGGTATGATCTCCCTTTCAAAACATTAGGTGCTTGCTAAAAGATTTAGAATGGTTGTTAGATAATCCTTTCTGAGTTCCTTGCTTTTGCTTAAATTCCTGGCCATGTACTTAACAAATAATTGGAAACAAAGATGGTTGTTTTGGTTCAATTGTGTCATTGAGTTGTAGAAAAAGAGCTTCCATGTATTGGTAAAAGTGAAACTTCTTTAATGAACCTGGGTGTACTTGTGTCCCATAAGTAATCTTCTTTGTTGTTTGTTTAGAGGACAGCAATAAGACAAGCAAATGGAAGAAAGGAAACTGCAAACTCTGCACTCAAAGACAAAGGACAAGAAATTACAACATGCAGCTGTTCCGCAACAAAGCACAGAAGCAACTTTGCAGACATAGAACAATGGTAGAAAAGAAAGAACAGTGGTCTCTTTGATATGTTCACATGATAGAGCAGGCATTTGGGTTGTCATCACTGAACAAGGTTGTGAACTGGTCCTCTGGCCTCACAGCTTGGCTGGAGACTTTGATGACCTCCACGTTCCTGACATACCCAGGGGGTGCCTTCTTGTCATAGGTTTGGGCAGCATACGGGTGGGCAACCAGGTTGTAAGGAACGTAAGGCCAGATCTCAGCCTTCTTCCCTGTGGATTGAACTTTCTTGAGTACCTTGTGTGGCTCAACATACCCCGTTACAGTCACCTTGTACTGCTTTCTGTTGATGTCCACTGATTGAACTCCTGTGAGGATCCATCAGAACTGCATCAGAACATCATATGATGTACTACAATGGGCACAGATCCAATAGAGGAGAAGAAGAAGAAGAAACCTTTCATGGAAGACAGTGCATTTCTAACTTTCAGCTCACAGCCGTCACAGTCCATCCTCACCTTCAGTTCAACAGTCTGAAACTGCTTCCTCTTCCTGTACTTGTGGCCACTGCCAAGCAAGCTGGAGAGGTAGTCCATGGTGCCTCCCATGGTGGTGGTAGGAGGAGGAAGAAACTATAGAAGATTAGGAGAAACTACAAAGATGAGATATAGAAGCTCCTGTATAGTGATCTGGAAAATGGAAAGACACAAGATATTGGTATTTAGCCTATAGACGATCACAAAAATGGCAACCACATGCACCCAAGCTGTTGAAGAAAGAAGAGACTGAGCTTGATGGGAAACGAGACCAGAAAAAGGGCTACCTGAAAGAGAAATAGGGAGAAGCAAGAAGAGGAAAGAAGAGAACCTCAGCAGGATTGCACAGTGAAGCTTTCTTATATAGTTTTCTTCACACTGCCCTTCCTTTGCTGCAACTTCGCTCCACCTCAACCCCCTTCTTAAATAGGCCTTGCAAAGGCACGAGCCACGAAAAGAACCTTCACCAAACAAACGTCGAAATGCCAGTGGAAAAGGGTTGTACTGATGCAGGAAAACTCGAAAAGGAAAAACAACACTCTACCTGTGTATATTAATGGGTTGTGTGGCCCTCGGAATAACACAACTGCGTTGTGTGTAAGAGTGGAGAACCCAGTCCTTGAGCTGTAAGAAAGCTTCATTGAAACGTGGAACTCCTAAACCTCTCGTAAGGATTCAATGAAAAGGACACTAGTAATAGCTCCTGTGGTCCTTGCAAAGGACCATGTGTCTAGCTTCCATGCCATCATCACCTTCTTGCCACTGCAATACTCTCTGCTTGGGCCACAGAGGATAGCTCTCTCTCACCTGGTTGTTCTTGTCGTTTCATTAGAGTTTTCTCAGGATTTGGGAGACTGAGTAAAGAAATGAGAGATTAGCCTGTGATTGGAGGTGGTACTTTCCAGTTGTCACACCACAAGCTGGTCCTCGTTGTCTCAGATGCAGGTGTCAGAAGCAGCAAGGTAGGTTTTTGAGTTCTCCATTAGGTTTTGCTGACTTTGAGACCCAAAAGTTATCTTGATGAGCAGAATAGCCTGCTGGATTAATTTCTTTGACTTGTTTGTGTTATCATGTCTTCTTGTGAACCATTTCTCTATCAGAGGAACAGCTTGTATGGTGTTACATATGTTGGTCATCATAATTCTCCCCTCTTTACTATATATAATGCAATGAAGCTTATTAAATGAAGGGAAGCAGAGGCTCTACTCAAGTAGGCAAAAATATCAATGTCACTTCAAGCTAAAACTGATGTGGTGACTTTTTAGGTACATATCGACATCATCATTACCTACTGCAATGCTAATCCAGTGCTTTGAAATGTTTTGATGGTGCAGAGAGAGAAACTTCCAACATATCCGAGTGTTCAACTATCTTATCATTGGAGTTCTCCTGTCGTAATTCTTCTGCATCTCATCCAATTCGCTGCATGTGATCTCATATTTACTTGTGGTATGCATGCATGTGCCTGTTTCTGTGTGCTTGCAATGTGTGCAGCGTTTTGATCGTCTGGGTAGCGAAATGGAAGATTGTTAAGAGGAGCTGGAAAGCTGAGATAGCAAGAAAGGAGGCATCCTGCTGTTAATGGTCTAAGAATATAATGTTGCCAACTTTAGTTTCGACTCGTTCTTTCAAGATCTCCTTCCAAAAGATCTCAGCTTGATTCCATGGATTGCATCCAATTCGATCTATCCTCTGATGCATGAAGCCTTGGTCTTTGATAAGAGTCAAATTCTTCTTTGAAAATTTGACATGCGAACATCGACTTGGTGGACAAAGATCAAATCGGATACGATGAATCTTTTACGTCAGCAACAATCACAATAAAACAAAAATATTATTCTTCAAATTAAAAATGATTCAGAGAATATTTCTCTGACTCCAGGCAATGAAAGCTTTGTACTGCTAAGCTCACAAGAACATGATCTTGGAACTTCACATCTAAGTTGCAGATATCAAGCTTCTCCATCTCTGAAGTAAATGACAGGAAAGAAAGGAAAACAATTGAAGGAAGACAGAAGGCGAAAAGCTACAAAGAGGGCCTCATACCAAACAGTGACATTTATCATTGAGCAGCAAAATGCAATCTCCCCGCTACAGAAACCTGATCTCATATCTTGCAATTGAGGTAGGATGATTTCAATTGCAGTTGGAAAGTTGAAGCAGGTAGTAAAAGAACGGAAGCCAGCCATGGCCTTTTGCAAAGGAGATGAATCCTTGTGACGTAGGAGATTGGTGGTGGGGTAGCCACCGCCATCATGCCCATGCGCAATAATTGCACTCAGGTTAGATTAGATTCTGTGAAGCACTCACATGGCCTTCTTACAGTGAATCTGTCAAGTTTAGCCGATAAATCCATCCCGTAGAGTAACAAGGATTTGAAGCCCTCGTAGTGTGTGGAGATCTGATCCAAGCGGAGGAAGATACAAGACAGAACAAGTACGAGTATGCTATATAGTAGGCTTCGAAAGTTCCAACTAAGTTCCAATCATTTGCTATTAGATATTGCAGAATTCCAGGTCGCAGACAAAACAAGTTGCTATGCGAGTTCCTCATATCTAAACAATATCTTGTGACCGACAATTCTCTTAAGATCTTTGGCTATCTGCATTCAATAGAGTAAGTTTGAAAAGATAAGTATTGCACAAACAAAGAATCATCAGTGCATTTCGTTAAGCCAAGAAAGTTCTATTCATGTAAAAGAAGAGCACTGTAGTGATGAGATTTAGATGGACTAGTAGAGAATAAAAGGAGCAAAGTTTTAGTTTCTATGATAAAAACGCTGAAGGGGCGCTAATAAATGATGATCTGTGTATGCTTTATATTTATATGATGGTGTTGTGTGCAAGAATTAAAATAAGATTTCAGTTGTCAGACAACATTACTGATTTGCTAGTAATCAGTTCCACAAATTATTATACCAGCTTGGGAAAATATTATGTACTTGTTATAACATGATCTTATTTATAAAAAAGAACAATTCCCCTGCAATTTCAATGCTTGAAAATTTTTGCTAGATCTTTTTGTCTTTCATATTTTTCTGTATTGACTGTTCATGAAGATTGTGCAAAAAAATACCTTCAACACTGCAATATATTGAAGAGACCGAAGATTATTAGTTAGAATATCTTCTAATAAAATCTGCTTAGTGACTAACAAAGTAAAGTGGCGAACACTTTTGTTCCTTTTCCCCAACAAGTCAAATATTTCATTCTCGAGGTAAAAAGGGAAACATTGTGGGCGCCACTTTGGAAGGTCCTCAAGAAAACTTTGGCTGCCTAATTCCTTGTTTTGTGCCTTGTAGCAGTAGGTCTTTTAGGCTTTGCAGCAACACTCAGTGCTATTCTCTTCTTCACCGAACATTGTGCACGAATCTGGTGGAGAGATGGCATGAATCTATGCCTATGACCCAAAATTCCATTCGGTGTCTGCAAAAATTGGCTGCGGACATTACTCTGGTGGAGAGACGAGTGCCATTTGCCCTTCATTTTGCATCTCACGGGAACAAAAGAAAGAGAAAAGAAACCAAGCATAAAATCTAGTTAGCTACTATTTGGTTGCTTTCACCTCCGGAAGATCTCTCTCTCTCTCTTTTCATCTTTTCTTGAAGACTAGTCGATTCAATGTAAAAAAGCAGTGCGGTTTTTTTTATCCGTTTCTTCCTTCTTTTCTTTTGGAAAAACAGAATGATTATGAGAATTTGCACTTTTTACTCTTTTGTTTGTTTACTTATTAAAGTATTCTCAAAAGTGATAAGAACAAGAACAATGAAATGAAAGCAGAAAGAATCATATCTATGTTTTCTGAAATATAAACTGATGTTATATGTTAAGACATGAAATGAACACACCTGCGCTGTGTGAATCAAAGTGTTAAGTTTAAATTTCACTTTATCTCCATCAATCTGGTGGAAATAAAATGACAAAGAAAGTTCAGTTTGTTACAGTGCAATCTAGCTTTTTACTGGATGAAACTAGAAAAAAACCAAGTGTGACAAGTGATCTGATGACAAAAATTATGCTCAGATTTATATCATCTTTTAATCTAATGCATATTACAACATACAACAACAACAATTGTACCAATCCATAATGTCTCAACTATTTAAAGGTCAGAAAGGCATATTAAAGCATCCTTCTCTTCTAAATGCTGCAATAGTTTCCAAGTAGAATCCATTCTTGCAGAGGATTTATTGCCATTTTATAGTGCTCATTGCAGTTTGAGTTTGACTCTTACTCTGTAATCCATTTGTCTTCTAAATATCCAAAAGTATATGACACCTATCAGAAATCTTAAACATGAGAAGCAGGGATGATACCACATTACTAACACAACCTGAGAATTATGACAAAAAAAATGATCATCCTGTTTAGCAAGCAATTTCAGAGATAGTGTGCGTGTGTGTGCAAAGTGCAAGTCTTTTCCTACAGCAAGAACCTGATCCTATCCAGCAACTAGTTCTAAAGCAGAAAAGTACAGTATATAATTCTTCACTGAGTCAAGCCTTTGTCAAAAAAACATATCTACGATGGTCAACAAGCATTAGGGTGCAAATCCTCTACATCATCTGTTGATCCCATGACTCAACAAAGATGAAAAATTATCCAGAAAATTCCAATTTCTGTCACAAGATATAAGTGGTGCTTCTGTTTTGTTTGACAGAGTACCTACCTACAAAAGACACTGCGAGCATCATTTCTCCTGGGCCAATGATGCATCAAAACCTAAAAGAAAGCACAAAGCAAAAGATTAGAACTCAGAGATATATGACATTTACCAGAGATTAGCATGCTACAATACCTCAGGGAAGATTATTTTGATGAATTTGTCCAGAGACAATAATACATCAAAACCACAAGATGGGAACATACCAAAAGATTAGGACTCGGACATATGGCTGAGACTAGCATGCTATACTACAACAGAATAGCATAAATAAGAATCTGGAGAGCTAAGGGCTGGAATCAAATTCCAGATTACATGCTGCTATTAGGCAATAAATTTAGAGATGCTTTATAGTCACATTGAAGATCAAGTATGTAACATAAAAACAACCTGCACTTGACTTGCAGATCACCTTTTTGTCATATAGCTCTTACAGATTTGACAATAAGAAGATACCCAATAAAGGATGCAAAAGAAACATACAGTAGCAAAGGCCAAAAAAAGTTGAAAATTTGGATTTTCATAGTGCATAAACCACTATAACTACATATCATAAATATAATTAAAGATTCAAACTGTCAGAAATATCTTGACTCGAGTTTGACTGTGGGCAAAATACATTTTGGGAAGGGTTTTTTTACTTCGTTTTGGGAAGGTTGAAGTTGGTATCATATGACAGTGGACAAAATACATTTTGGGAAGGGTGAAATTGATTTACAAGAAGCCAGCGAGTCTCATTTCTCTTTCATTCCTGAAGACTGGGCAATGGCTGAATTTTGCCTATAAAAGTAGCTCCAAGAATTATATTTACTTTCCCAATTTGTTCAACATAGCCTTACTATTGTAATCGAACTAGCACACTGCATATGCCAACCTCTGGACAGTAACACCTGCTAAAAGGGCAATTTCCGAGAACAGTGTTAATCCACTTGATTTGCACCAAACACTCTGCAAACCGAGCTAACACCCATGTATTTTGGATTGATAAGAACATGTTATGCTCAATATGACCAAGTCATAAGAGGAGAGGAAAATATCATCCAAACATAAGTAATACACAGAGCAAAATAATAATACTCATTGCCAACAATTGAAAAAACATCCCATCAAGTCTCATCATTATTAATATAGTAAACGTCTAAATATAATTTTATTAGATAATCAGCTAAGGATTTCACCTTGCCGGAAAAGAACACTTCTTCAATCCTTAGCTCCCAAGCTATGGACCATCTGAAATATGTAATTTTCAGTTCAATAGGGATTATCTTAGTAGAAACGGGACGTCAAGAAATCCAATCATGTGTCATACAATCAGCTTATAAGAATCATAATATGAAAAGGCAAGCATAAACTAGAATAGAAGATCTCATAAGTTCATCGTGAGAAAAGCACATCCAGCAATGCGCTTAGCTGTAACAGAACTTGTCCGACGACTCGGGACGAAACAAGCTCCTTATAGATTAAGAACTCAATTCATATCACATTCCAAGCTATTACTTCATTACTCGAATGGAATGGTGCACCACTCACAATGGTAGAAACACGTCTACAATCTCTTATCATCATGTTGGAAGACTACTAATCCCATTCGAAACTGTCTACTAATGCTGTCAATCTTGTTCATCAAACTAATCGATTAAGAAAGAGAACAAAATTTGACAAACAAAATACACAAAAAGAGGATGATACTCAACATCGTTTCTCTTTTTTGGGTTTTGGATTTGGATAGGAGAGTAACAAAGTTATATAAAAGGTGACCGACCCTTACCCTAAATCAAAAGCGCTTCATCCTCCACCTCAAAATCACCTAAGCGTCCTACCCAGTCATCCAAAAGAATCCTACTTCTTATCATTTCGAAAATTAACCAAAACTCAAAGCTAATTACCAAATATCCATAGCCAAATCAATTAAAACATTTAGGTGTCGAACAACCTACATAAGTTTGATATCTTCCAGTAGACTTAAAACGAACAGGACAAGAATAACAACCACATCTACAGAAAGTGATTATCAACAAGCAATTAACTATATCGACAATATCATCGCAAATCTTCTCATCAATCTTCATTTTCTTGCTTCATGTGTGCATCCAAGTTCATCTTACATTCATAAAGAAAAAAAGTAAATGGCAGGAATTATTTGGTTGCAAACTGCAGATAAAAGTTTAATGGCAGATATCACACTACATGGATGCAAACAGTTATGCAGACAGTGGAAAATTGGAACCTGGTAACACAACTTGCTTGTACAATACCTTGCACCATGCATTATGCACCTGCAGTATCAAAGAGCATTTCTGTTTTTGGGGCTACATTATACAATTCAATGAGTTCTGGAAACTCCTTGTAGCGGAAGACGAACTTCTCCAGAAATTTCTTCTCTGTATATGACATGTATGTGTCCATTCGGAGGTTACCGATGTGAACTCCCCTTGACTTCAAGCCCATCAATATCCGATACCTGGGAATCAATCTTTTCTCCAAACTCATCGTCAAAATCACTGGCCGGTGTGCAAGATAATACGGAGCGCATCTGGTTTCATTGACCAAGAACTCCATCTTTCTCTGCAAACTCTTTAAAGAACATGTCGAAAGAGCCGGAGCCTTTCTGAATGCAGCAAGGAAATCATCCTCGGACCACCCAAAACCCTTGAAGAACTCCAAGTGAGCCTTGAATTTCTTCTCGGAGACGTTGTGGAGCGCAGTCAGGGTCAAGGGGAACATCCCTGAGGTGCGATCTACTCCCAAATCCTCGACACGACTGATTAACGCCTTCAGGGTTTCAGCCTTCTGGGCTATGAGGAGGGGGCGGTGCCGTAGGATCATTGAGAGCTTCTGATCCGTGATCCCGAAATCCCTTAGAATCTCAATGTTAGGCTGGATCTTCTTCTCAATGCTATACCCGAGAAACCACCTGTTTTTCTTGCATACCTTCACCAGTAAGTCGTTGGACCCGAGGAGGCCTTGCCATAATTGGATCTTGGACAAGATGGTCTGGGATTTGTAGCTGAAGGCGTGGTTATTCGATATGACGAGGTGGGTGATGTCGGAGCAGGAGAAGCCCAGATCCTGCAAAGCTCGGAACTTTGGGGCCAGGGTCTTCCCCACGTCGAGGAGAAGCCACCGGGGGTTTGCAGATATGACCTTTTTCACCTGGGTGTTGTCAAAACCGTAGCTTTTAAATAAGCCAAGGACGGAGTCAGGCTGGTGGCGGGATTCGATGCGGCCAAGGAGCTTCGAGGCCTTGGCCGCCTCATCCGGTTCGAAGCCACAGGAGCTGACAAGGTATTCAGCCACGGGGCTGCTCTGTGGAGCCCCGGAGGCGGCGGAATAAGAATGGGTTGAGAGAAAAACGGCAGCATCGGCCGGACGACGGCGAGGGATGAAGGCGAGGGCTTTGAACAAGAGAGAGACGTACGGCGATCTATTCATCAACGTCATCGTCGTCTACTCCTCCTTATTTGTATGTTCCTTCTCTTCACCAAAACCTAGCGATGGTGGTGTTGCTGCGTCTGGAGGAAACTGGCCGGAAGTACCTGCATCCGAAACCCTAGAAGTGCGTCACTGTGTCGGAAGAACTCTTTTCTTCGGTCGGAGATTTCTCCGACCGCAGGCCTCTTTTCTCCTTCGTCAGCTTTTATTTTGTGCCAACTACAAATAGTAGAAGAACGAACACTAGTCAACACTTTTTCTTTGGTCGGAGATTTCTGCGACCGCAGGCCTCTTTTTTTTCTTCGGCAACTTTTTATTGTGTGCCAACTTAAAAAATAAATGAATGAACAGTAGCAAAGTCCACTCTTTTCTTCTATCCGAGATTTCTACGAACACAAACATCTTTTCCTTCGTCAACTTTTATTGATTGATAACTAAAAATAATAAATGAATTAACACAAGTAAAGTCAACTCTTTTCTTCAGTCGAGGATTTCTGCGAGCCACTTTTCCTTGTCAACTTTTAGTGTGTGTCAACTAAAAATAGTAAATGAATGAATATTAATAAAGTCATAATCCTCATTAAAATTGAAGGGTTAATATTTATGCTACCTAAATTATAAAATTAAATCAACTGTAGTATTTTTATTTAAGGGTATTTTATCAAAATACAATCACTCATTCTTATTTTTTTTTATCAAAAAATCATTAATTATTGGGTTTTTATCGACTGATATCCTTGTATTATGACACTTATTTTTTTTCTTTAACGAAAATACTTTCAAATCTTAAAATGAACTAATCCAATCTACTAAACCTGGTTTAGTTTAATAGAATCCTAATTTACCTTTTATTCTCCACTAAGTTACCTCATGTTACGTGATCTCCAATAAAACTAGAGATTTTTCATCGTTGATTATCCATCGGTTACCAATGTTAGTTTATTGGAATCTTCGTTCCTATAAACGAACAACGTGGTGTGAATAGGCTTCATCGAGAAAACATTTGGAGAAGGCATTTATTGTACGATGCTAATCTTCATTCCTAAGAATTCATAGAAGGCATTGCCAAAACTTTTGTTGTGTTGCCAAAGCCTTCATTGCATCACTAAAGGTCTCATTGTTGCTTTGCCAAAGCATTTATTGTACGATGATAATAATCATAGCTTAGATTCCGAATGTGGTTGTCCTAGAACTTGTCTTCCCTATGACCGAGTAGTCCGTTCATCGAGGAAAAGGTTCAACACTAGGCAGGCCATATGGTGAGAAGTATCATTGGTTTAGATCATATATCTTTTTGTGGTATTGTTTACGTACATACTATGGCTACACACACCTAATACAAGTAAAATGATATTCACATTAGTATTCCATTATATGTTTGAACAAAGTACCAATTATGATATCCGAGGTCAAAACAACATATCTCATATCTAATGAGTAAAAATATCACATTATCACAATCAATTAATGAGTAAAATTTCTTATCATTTGGAAAATCAACCGAACTTAAAACCTAAATTACCAAATATCCATAATCAAATCAATTAAATAAATTCAGGTGTACAACAACCTGCATAAGTCTGATATCTTCTGGTAGACTTATGAAGAACAGGACAAGAATAGTAATTCCATGCAGTGTATACAAAAGAATTAAGCAATCCTATTGATAATATCAAGGCAAATCTTCTCATCATTCTTCATTTTTTTACTACTTGTATGCATACAAGTTCATCTTGAATTCACCAAAAAAAAGTAAATGACAGGAATCACACTGCATGGTTGCAAACTGCAGATCAAGTTAAGCAGACAGTGGGAAATTGGAACCTGGAAACACAACTTGCTGGAACAAAACCTTACACCATGCATTATGCACTAACAGGATCAAAGAGTAGTTCTGTTTTTGGGGGCTACATTATACAATTCAATGAGTTCTGGCTCTCCTTGTAGCGGATGATGAACTTCCTCCAGAAATTTCTTCTCTGGATATTTCATGTATGTGTGTACATTTGGAGGTCACCGATGCAAATTCCCCTGGACTTGATGCCCATCAATATCCAATACATTGGAACCAACCTTTTCTCCAAACTCATCAACAAAAATCACTGACTGGGGTACAAGATAAGATGGAGCATATTTGGCTTCATTTACCAAGAACTCATGTTCTTCTCTTTAAAGAACCTGCCATTGGAGCCTTTTTTTGAATTCAAGCAACAAATCATCTAACCCCCCGAAGCTCTTAAAGAACTCCAAGTGAGCATTGAAATTCTTCTCGTTGATTGTCTGGAACACTCTTAGAGTTTGGTGGAACATCCTTGGGGCGTAGGCTACACCCAAACTCTCAATACGACTAATTAACACCTTCAGAGTTTTAGCCTTCTGGAATATCAGGCGAGGGTAGTGCCAATAGCATCTCACAATCCTTTACATCTCAATGTTAGGCTGAATCCTCTTCTCAATGCTATACCCGAGAAACTAGTGATCTTTCTTGCATAAATTCATCAAAAATTCATTGGACCCGAGGAGGTATTACCGTAACTGGATCTTGGACACGATAGCATGGAGTTTTTGGTTGATGACGATAGGATTTGATCTGATAAGATGGGTGATGTTGGAGCAGGAGAAGACCAAATCCTGTAAAGCTCACAAATTTGAGGCTAGAGTCCTCTCCACGTCGAGGAGAAGCCACTCGAGGTTTAAAGATAGGACCCTTTTCATTTGAGCATTGTCAAAACCATAGCTTTTGAAGAAGCCAAGGATAGAGTAAGGCTAACGACGAGATTCGATGCGGCAAAGGAGCTTCGAGACCTTGGCCGCCTCATCTAGATCGAAGCTACAGGAGCCGACCAAGTATTCAGCCATGAGAATGCTCTGTGGAACCTCGAAGGTGACGAAGTAAGGAACACATTAGGGTCGAAAGTACCTGCAACTTAACCCTTGGAAGTTCGTTATAGTGTTCAAGGAAATTATTTATATTTTTGTTGGTCAAAAATTTCTACGATCGCAATCATCTTTTTCTAATTAAAAATAATAAATGAATTAATAAACAATAAACGACATGTGAGTCTTAATGCTTGTAAAAGTAGATGGATTAATAATTATACTACCTAAATTATAAAATAAAATCAATGATAATATGCTTATTTAAAGATATTTTATCGTAAAAGTCTCGTCTTTGAATTCAGATTCATTTTAATCCTTATGATTTTGATCACTTAAACTTTTACGATTTACTCATGCATATAATAATCTATATATTTTAAAAAACGTAGCATATAAGTTCCTTCCGTTAAGTCTGAGTTAACAAACATTAAAATCTACTTACGTGACATGTTGACTCATAATAAATTATTAATAAAATAATACATAAATTATATATATATATATATATATATATATATATATATATATATATATATATATATATATATATATATATATATATATATATATATA